TATAATAATACAGACTATTCTATTAAGCTTAACGCCTTAATATTCTAGACTATATTATCTAATACGCTATAGCTAATTAAAGAAGATATATCTAGTTATAACTTAGTTCTATTTAGACTATTATAGTATACAGCTAGCTATAAACTCTTATTTTCTTAGGTTAGTGTAGTTAGTGTAGACTTAGATGTATTAACGTAGACGTCTTTATTCTACTAGTTACTATTAGACTTAATAATCTTAGCTATTAGCGTTATTACTATAGTATTAATTAGATTTAACTTAGTTAAATTATTACAAGTATACGTTAGGCTACCTAGAAAAATAAGAAGAGTAGGTAGTTAAGGTAATAGAGAACTAGATAGGTAGTTTCTTATATATCTATCTAAGCGCTAGCTAGTATATAGACTTATAACTTCTATAACTTTATATCTATAGAATAAAGATTTATCTAAGACTAAACTCTCTATAGGCATAAATACCTATAGCTCTAAACCTAAATAAGAAGATAATATATTATTTCTATAACTAAGAAACTACTTAAAACTAACTATACTTAGTTAGACTTAACTAAGTTAAACCTTACTAGTGCAACGCTTCTATTTCTTCTTATTCTTCTTCTTATTCTTCTTCTTATTCTTACGCTTCTTATTATTCTAGTTTACCTTCTTAGCCTTCTTCTTATTATTACTACTCTTTTATTAGTTTAGACTCTACTAAGTGTTATTACGTTAATATGTATAGAGTAATTGTTATATTCTTATAGGTAGCTAAAGATACTTTAGTAAACTTAATAGAAATATAATAATGCAGCTTATTATTCTAGAGAATAGCTAGATAAGCTATAAGAGTTAGCTAAGTCTAATCTTAGTGTACACTTAACCTACTGCAATTATTAGCTTTATAGCAGAACTAGTAGAACTAGTAACTTTTCTTTAGGCTAGTCTAGATATAAGCTTTACTAGCTAAGACTCTCTATATTATATTAGAATAGGTATAGACTAAGTTAATTCTATTTATACTTATACTATTCTTATATATAGAGAGCTCTAGCAATCTCTCTATAATATATACTATCTACTTATCTACTTCTTAGGCCTATAGAGGTTAGTTATAATTAAACTAAGATAGATCTTCTATATACCTTTTAAGTAGCTAGCTACTTAGCTAGCTACTTATTATAGAGAAATAGTAGAGGTAGAGTGTTACTAAAGCTAGGCTTCTCTAAAGTTTTATAGTTAGGTAGTTAAAGCTTAGTTTAGTCTAACTTGTACTAGACCTTAACTATATTCTTAGCTTTAATATATTTCTCTATAGCCTTTATATAGTTAAGTATATTCTAGAAGTAATCTATCTAAGTTAGCTATAATTAATCTAAGTTATATTCTTAGTATTTGTACTATTAATTATCTTATAGCAGCTCTTATCTACCTATCTCTTTACCTAATCTATAAAGAAATACCTAGCGTAATAATACTATTATATATTAGTAGGCTTAGATAGAACTAAGTATAATCTAACTTACTACTTTACTATAAGTCTATTTAAGATACTTTATAAGTATACTAGTATTATCTATAGTAAACTATATTATATTAGTTAAGAGTTAACTAAGTATATATAAAACCTCTTACCTTACCTAACTTATATCTACGTAGTAGTTTTTTAGTTCTAAAGTTAATATTAGCTAAGTAGTAAATTATTTCTTAGACTATAGTAACTATTTTAGTTTTATTGTTCTAGAGAGTATTAACTAAAATATATCTTAAAGAAATATAAGTATAGCGTATAGCCTAAAAGTAGAGTAGACTAGCTAGACATAGTAGAAGTGTCTAGTAAATCTTAATAAATTTCTATACTACTATTAGTTCTAGACGTAACTAAGTGCTATCTAAATAAACTTAGTCTTTAAGTTTCTTTATTCTGCGTACGCTCTCTATTATTACTTTATATTTCTATTTAGCTAGATCTAACTAGGTTAGATCTAGAGTTAGCTACTTTATATTATAATTAGAATTTAGATTATTAGATTCTAATATTGTTAGGCGCCTTAAGACGTTGCTAAAAAAGATCTTAATAGTAGTATATATACTGCTAGTACTGCTTAAAGGTATAGTATAGTAGTAAGTAGTAGTAAGAGAGTATAGTTACTAAGTATATAAGCCTTAATTAGTAGCTTAGATTGCTAGTGCGCTAGTAGCTATACGCTAATTTAAGCAAAAGTTAGGTTACTTTTGCGTAATAAATTAAGGGTTAGCTAAGTTAAATCTAGAGGTTAGCTAAACTAATCTCTAATATACGATGAGCGTCTTGGGTGAAAATTGTCCGCAGTACATCCAGAAGTCTGCATGCACCCCGTCCAACGGCCCGTAGACCCTGGAGAGCATCTATAAGACTTACGGTACATTGTCTAGAACCGAGTATCCGGGCGAGACTGCACTCACACGGTGTACACTCCATACCATCATGCGGCAATTCTTCTCCGGTTCAGCCTCTCTGCTTGCTGGGTGTGCTCTGCTCCTTCCTAGCAGCGCGTACGACTTGGTTCGCAGACAACAAGCAGCGAATGCGACTTACAAGGAAGCTTCCGCGCCAGTCGAGGACAGAGTGGCGGATCTTCTTTCCCGGATGACTATCGAGGAAAAGACAGCTCAGCTCATTCAGGGAGATATCTCGAATTGGATCAACACTACCACCAATGCTGTCAACGAGACAGGTCTCGAATGGAACTTCCGCGTCCGCGCGGGTCAGTTTTACGTCGGCTATCCGATACCTGCGGAATGGATCAGCAATGGCGTCAAGATTGGCCAGGACTATCTTCTGCACAACACGACATTGGGCATTCCGGCAATGGTTCAGACGGAAGCCATACATGGCTTGCTCGTCGGTAATGCGACCATCTACAACAGCCCGATTGGGCAGGCCTGCTCGTGGGATCCGCAGCTAATACACGACATGGCTGTGGCGATTGCGAAGGAGTCGGCTCCTCTCGGCATCAATCAGCTGTTCGCTCCACTCGCGGATCTGGCGCGTGAGCTGCGTTTCGGAAGAGTGGAAGAAACGTACGGCGAGGACGGTTATCTAGCCGGCGAGATGGCATACGAGTATGTTAAGGGAGTGCAAAGTCTAAATGTCAGCGCTACGGTCAAGCACTTTGCCGGTTTCAGTAATCCAGAGCAAGGTCTCAACACTGGGCCAGTTCATGGAGGCGAAAGAGAGCTGCGAACTACCTGGCTGCCGCCTTTTCATCGAGCTATCATGGATGCTGGTGCCTGGAACATCATGGGTGCTTATCACTCTTACGATGGAATACCCTCAATCGCGGATGGCCATATGCAAGAGACAATTCTCCGCGAGGAATGGGGTTACAAGTACTGGCTCACTTCGGATGCGGGCGCTACAGACAGGCTGTGCTGCAACTTCAAGCTGTGCCAATGCAAGACAGAAGACACGCCAATCGACAGCGAAGCGGTAACACTCATGGCTCTACCGAACGGCAACGACGTGGAGATGGGCGGAGGCTCATACAACTACGCAAACATCCCGCGCCTGATCGAAGAAGGCAAGCTAGACATTGAGATCGTCGATCGAGCAGTGAGCCGCCAGCTCCGAGCGAAGTTCGAAATGGGTCTGTTCGAGAACCCATACCAAGGTCTCTCCACGAACGCGACTGAGTCCATCATCCACCCTGAAGAGCATGTGCAGCTTGCGAGGACACTTGAGGCTGACTCCATCGTCTTGCTCGAGAACAAGAACAGCACATTGCCGCTCTCCAAATCTGCGAACATTGCTGTCATTGGCCCCATGGCAAACATTACTAACCTTGGTGACTACGTGGTCTACCGCTCTCAGTACAACCCCACCAACGTTACTCCGTTGCAAGGTATTCAGAGTGCATCCAGCGGTACTATTACGTACGCTCAGGGCTGCGAGCGCTGGTCAAACGATCAGTCCGGCTTCCCCGATGCCGTCGCTGCGGCCGAGGCTGCAGATGCCGCAGTAGTCGTCGTCGGTACCTGGTCGCGCGATCAGCAAGAGCTCTGGCAAGGACTGAACGCCACTACCGGTGAACACGTAGACGTTGCCTCACTCAACCTAGTCGGCGCCATGGGCGAGCTCGTCCAAGCCATCATCGAGACCGGCAAACCCACCATTGTCGTATACTCCTCCGGCAAGCCCGTCACCGAACCCTGGATCTCCGACAACGCAGCCGCCCTCCTTCAGCAATTTTACCCCGGTGAGCAAGGCGGCAATGGACTAGCGGACGTCCTCTTCGGCGACGTCACCCCCTCCGGCAAACTCTCAGTCTCCTTCCCTTACGACGTCGGTACCCTGCCAATCTACTACGACTACCTCAACTCCGGTCGCGCCACCGACGCCGGAGCCATCCTACCAAACGGCACCCTCCAATTCGGCCACCAATACGTCCTCAACAGCCCCCAGGCACTCTACGAATTCGGTTACGGACTCTCCTACGCGAACTTCACTTACTCCAACGTCACACTCTCAAAGACCGAAGTCAGCCCCAGCGACACTATCACCGCGACTGTTACCGTAACGAACGAATCTGAGGTGGACGGCAAGGAAGTGGTGCAGGTCTACGTTCAAGATGTTTTCGCTAGTGTTGTGGTGCCGAATAAGGAACTCAAGGGCTTCAAGAAGGTTATGGTCAAGGCGGGTGAGACTGTAGATGTTAGTATTGAGTTGGATGTGGCTAAGTGGGGGCTCTGGGATAGGAAGATGCAGTATGTGGTTGAGAAGGGAGATTTTGTTGTGCATGTTGGGGCTAGTTCGATGGATTTGAGGGGGAATGCGACGGTCACTGTTGTTTGAGGCTGTATATGTCGTTCAATTGGGGATAGGAAACGACAGTTCGAGTTGACACTGGCCTTTTACCCCACGGTAATGTTAAGACTTCGTACGAGTAACAAGTATCGCCGATTTGGGAAGTCACCACAACCACGTGACTGCGCGCGTCGCTGTGCGACCGAAAGATACGCTAAATGGGGTCTGTGCGGCAGCAAACGGGCGTTGATGGGGCGCTGCTCTGTTTTGGTTCTCACTTATTCACTCTGCTCTCATAAGTCTCTGATCTCAATTCCCTCTCTTGGATGGTCAATTGACTTTCGTCTCCTCCATTTCACCTTGCCAGCGGTTGCGTTACTGCTTGTTCGGCATCCGCAAGATGGCCCACGAAACGCCATGGTTGTGGGACGTAGGCGGCGACGTTGACGACTTCTCAGACGACGACGATGGTCTTCACCTGGATCTGAACACTGATCTTATCGGCGTCAATCGTACTACAAAAGATCTCAATATCGTGAACGCTTACAGACCGAAGTGGACATGCGTTGAGGCCTTCCGCGAGTCCTACCAAAACTGGTGAGTCTATGCGCTGCAATTCTCCAGATGACAACCTCTAATTAGCGACAGGAGGGACGGCATTCTGAGATCTTTCGACCTTGACCAGTCCCGGTTTCAACCTACGTACACCGAGAAGGGACAAGAAATCATCATCGAGGCGCGCCACCCAGATAACGACAATCTCCTTGGCTACATTCACTTCAAAGGTGATAAGGATGGTAACTGTGTGGGAGGTCTGAAGGTAGTCAACTTCGAAGCCACCCTCAGATTTTCTGATTTAGGCACGGGATCGACTTCCAAAGCTCGCGACCCTAGACAGACCGGACAACATGGCGATGGCATGAAAATCTCGTCTCTCGTCTACCGACGCAATGGATATAATCTTCGCTACGAAAGCGGTGGGTTTGCCTGGAGATACATCTACAAGAAAGGTGGCTTAGCCTGCTCTCTCAGTCGGATTAACGAGAAGAATCTGAAGAAGATCAAGGATAAGGACAAAGGCAAACCCAGGACTCACAGGCACCACGCCTGGGAGGATGTTTGCTTGGTCATTGCCGACACGGGGAAAACTAAGGACATTCGTGGATGGGAGGCACACGGCAAGCAACTCAACATCGTCGACTTCAAGAAATGGATCATTGTCACCCTCGATATCAATCCGCCAAAGGATATCATTCGAACGATACACGGGGATCTCATCCGTGATCCCAGCTACCAGGCGCGCATGTACCTACGTGGTCTCTCATTGCCGCGCGGAGGAAAGCAGGGAGACAAATACGCATATGGGTACAACTTTAATGTCGGGAATACCAGTGCCGATCGCGATGCGCTTTCTGGCTCAGCAGAAGAGAGCGATGGTATCACCGCCATTTGGTCAGCTGCAATACGCGCAGATGGGTCTACCGATTCAGATCTACTGTCAGACTATACCAAGCTGCTTCTGGGTTCGATCAGTAAGAACGGCGATGTCATGATGTTCACTAACGACGATGGTTCTGAGTCTATGCCTCGAGATATCGCCAAGAAGGTCTGGGAGAAGATGTTGACGCTCAACATGGATGCCGAGGGTCAGGCAGCCTTCTACTATTCAGCTAGCGAAGGCAACAATGTAAGCAAACAAGCTCCGTTGAAAGAGACTCTACTAACTGTTTCGTCCCAGGAAGCCCACGTCATCGGCGAGAATTTGCGCAAAAGCCCTACTCCAATTCACCCCGACTTGTGGAGGATCTTGAGGAAGTACTCCCTTTGCAGAACGCCACGCGAAGAGCTACTACATCGCTTTGAGTCTGCGGAGGTCGTGAGTTCTGGACCAGACACTGTCTTTGCGACAAGCATGCGCACAATGCTTCAATGCTTGCTACTCTCTTCTCCAGCCACCCAAGAGATGGAGCTTACCTTCGTGGACGGCGAACATCTAAACATCGACGCTGGTTTCTTCTCGGGTACCTGGAAAGTCCACAGCAAATGGCTTACTTGGGAAGGCGCACACGAACAAGCATTCTGCGAAGAGGACGAATCGGGGACATTTTCCTGCGATCATGCAGTCCTGCAGCTATGGGACATCATGATCTCTCAGCTTATCGCAACCGGTGAACATCCTCGCATAGCTACTGAAGAACGTTGGCTGAAGAGTATGGCAAGGATTCGCTTGTCGCAGATGCCTAGGTCAGTCGAGTGCCGTCAGACACAGAACAAAGGCGAGCTTATGGTCACGTGGGAGTCCACAGACTCACACAGGCATAAACACAAGACGGTCAAGGTCATTCTACACTGGGGCGGCTGTGATCTCGTAGGGACATTGGATGAGAACTGTCTGAACCATGACGGTAAGTATCACATGAGGAATATGAATTCTACGTCCATTCAGGCTAACGGCGACCAGATCAGGGTTGTTCCTGCCCAAGTCAGATATCCCAGGCTGTCAGCGACGGTGTTACCTTCCCTGGTTTGGATACTGATGAATTGTATTACCCTCTCGTATCCCGAGACGCTGAGGGTGCGTTTCTTGCTGGACCTCAAAGCTCGGTAGCGCCTCGCGAGCATAACGTTGCTGTTCCACGTACTCCCAAAGCCAATACAACACCTATGCTAAGTAAGTCACAGCGATTCGCTGTCGACTTTGCTGGGTATGCTAACACAACCAGGTTCTGTCGAGTCTGGTCCACGCCCTACAACTGCAGACGCGATCGATCCGCGTAACAACGACCAAACTCCTTACGTCGACGAAGACGATGAAATGGAAGACAACGCCGATCTCTACCGATCTCCAAGTAGAATCATATTTTCATCGGTCCCATCTTCAGTTTCATGTAGCCCCCCGCTTCCGCCAGTGCCGCTGAGACGTGGGCCACGACAGGAACGCAGCAACGTGGTAACGGTAGACTTGACAAAACGTTCGAAGAATGGCACCTACGGTCAGTATACCTAATCACCGAAATTTTGTCTTCTTAAACTGACACATCACAAGTTTCCGGCACTAAAGTTGAGCACAAGTCGCTCGATTGGGGTGGTAGCTTCCCTGGAAGCCACGACTTCTACCGAACCCGCGACGAGCCAGACCAAGAGATATACATCCTCAAACCCAAGATCAGCACGATGAAACCACGTAACAAGAGAATGCTTTCTGGAGCCACCGAGCGCGGTGGTGCCAAGAGATTGCGGACGAACATCGTGGCTAACCGCGAGGACTCGTCGGCATCCAACAAGATTTCGGGTGGAGAACTTGAGGACGGTTCAGACACAGATAGTCGACCCAGTCCTTTCCTGCGTCGTGGTGAGTCTGCTATGACCCTGCGACCGGAAAGACGTATGAACTATCGTGAGGGTCATCCAGGGCAGGGAATGCGATGGTGATAGTTAGGTATCTTGGGCAGCAGCTGGCGAGCGATCATTTGAAGCATCTCATTGGATACCTGCTGGGGGTCCTTTGCACTAGTCGGTTACTGTACCGTGTCCACGCGAAGAGGCCTCGAGACGCCATCCTGCAGGGCCATCGGGCCACGCTGTCAGCCCTAGTCTACCCGTACTGCATCGACATTGCATTCGCGTATGCTTCTAGCGTACCTGAAAGCCTCTATCCAGCGTGCTATTCGAGGAATGAAGTGTTACTGTCGTCAGTGTGGCTAGCTTGTATGCCCCTGATACGCTGGCGCCCCTTGTCACTGGCTTGGATGCACATAGTCCTCTTAAGCTATATCAGCCTTGCATACATGGCAGGGATTCAATTTAGCATGAATGGATATGTGCCTTGCAGCCTTGCGGGAATGTTCATGTGCCGTGCAGTGTTTGCATGGAAGCGATAGGTTCGATGGTGCCGCTTGCTACAGTGACGCGTGACGCTAGCACACTGGGACTCAAGCACTTCATGTCCATGTAACATGCAAAGTTATATACTAGAAGTATCGCGAATAGCATGACCACAGTGATGTTGTTCTAAAAAAAGCCCAAGCTCGCGGTGGCTGCCGAGCTTGACACAGCACCGCGTGGCGACTATACGTGTATCCTGGACTGACCAGTGCAGACTAAATGTGATATCTCTCATCTTTTTTCTCTCCTAACATCACAAGATTTCATCATCTCAACGTGGTGTCGGTCTGCACTTCAGATTCACTCATCGCGCCGCATAGCTGAAACGGGTTAGCACGCTACGGCCGCCGCCATCTCGCTTAGATGCGGCGACCTTTCCAACGGCCACGATAATCGGAACCGTCGGTGACGACTGCGCAACTCTCCAGACGTCGATATCAGCAGATAGGCAGACGATTAATCACGAGCGATGTCCAATTGGAGCCATGGCAGCCGGTGCAAAGAGCATCGGGAAAAGCGACGGAGCTTGCCCGTCGCAAAATCTTGCTCGATAAGGAAACAACCTCCACGAATGCCCCGCGCCTAGTCTACAGCGACCACAACGACATGGCCGCTTTCGGCCCACTATATTCACTAGCCGCTTGTGGTGCGAGTGATGGTAGTAGTGCGTGATGATATAAATACGCAATGCGATGGTCTTGGATGGTCATCGCTGCATCAAACCTCTCTCACTTCTATGCTCTGCGACGATAAACCGTGGTTACTGAACAACATGTCGTCGAGCAAGCCCTCATACCTCGTCGTTGGCGCCGGCGTCTTCGGCATTTCGACTGCTTACCACCTTATCAAGAAGTACCCAGACCGACAGGTTACCGTTGTCGACCAGGATGCTTGGGACGCCGATAACCGCGTAGCAGCTTCGTGGGACTGGAACAAGGTCGTGCGCGCCGATTACGACGATGTCATCTACTGCAGACTCGCTCTTGAGGCCCAGGATGTTTTCAAGGAGGACCCATTATGGCAGCCGTACTTCCACGAGACTGGTATCTTCTGGGTTTGCCGTTCAGACTACGCACAAGAAGTCATCGACAACTACAAGAAGCTCGGACGCGAAGCAGACTTGCAATCAGTCACCATTGAGGAGGCGAAGAAGTTGTTCGGCGGACTCTTCGAGGATGCGAATTACGACGGCGCGAAGAGTGTACTCGTCAACAAGACGAGTGGCTGGGCACAGGCTGGCGACGCGCTAAGAGCAGTTACCAAGTGGTCGATCGCAAAGGGCGTCAAGTACATCACCGAGAAGGTCCAGGACCTAGACATCGACAGCACCGGTCGATGCACAGGCGTCAACACCGAGCAAGGCAGCACCATCAAAGCCACGCACACCATCCTCTCAACCGGCGCCTACACCGCCAAGCTCCTCGAGCAAGCCGCCCAGAAAAGCGGCAACCCCAACCTACGTTCTGGCTCAAGAATTGTCGCTGGTGGTATCACAACCGGCATGACGACTCTAGACGAGAAGTCGTACGAGAAGTTCAAGGACATGCCCGTTGGTGTCCAGGGCTACACCGCCGCATACGGACCCTTCATCGGCAGCTTACCGCCAACCAAGGACCGCGAGCTCAAGTGGTGGGGCGAGAAGATCTTCAAGCATACACATGAAGTACTACCCGGTCGCTTCGTTTCTGCGCCGCCGTCTGGAAAGGATTATAACCAGTGGGATGTGCCTGGCCCGTTGAAGCTGGATATCGATCACGCGAATGATGTGTTTTACGGGAAGAAGGGCGCGAATTGGAAGATGGAGAAGCATCGCATTTGCTGGTAAGTTTTACACTCACTTATCTCCTGCTTGATCAGTATTAATATCTTTCAGGGACGCATTCACCACATCATCCGACTTCATCATCTCGCCGCACGCCGGCGCCAAGGGCCTCTACGTCGCCACATGCGGCTCCTTCCACGGCTACAAGTTCTTCCCCGTTCTCGGCAAGTACGTTGTGCAGATGCTGGAAGACGAGCTGGAACCAGCGCTCAAGGAGAAGTGGGCATGGGATCGTGAGAGGCCGGCGCCTAGCCTCAACCCCGACTGGCCTAGGTTCGAGATGACGGATTTGATGGACCAGTGGCCGAAGGCCAAGTTGTAAGATGCATCGAGAGGATTTTGATGAAGTTAATGAGTGGATGTTGCATATTTGCATGGCGCCTGGGCTGGCGTTTACATTTCTTTTACATAGCGGATGTTGTGAATAACAATCCTACTTTTCCACCTTGCAATCCCATCGCCGTATGCCAGCCGTCTCCTCAAGTTCAACCTCAATCTCATCGACCCACTCATTCATTTCTTCCTGATACGCCGTGATCCTGCTCATACAGCGTTTGAAGTGTCGCTTTTGCTCCTCGTCGAGCGTTCTGAACTTATCTTTACCCCACGTACCCAGGTAAACATACTTCATATCTTTCAGCGGGCTCATCACGTTTCTGGTAAGACAGTCCATTCTTTCGGCTTCGGTGGTGAGGGAGAAGAACGGATCGAGGAAGCAGCCATGAAAGTAGAGCTTTTCCAGAGGACCGGGACCGCACATCTTGGTGGTTTAGAGGAGATTGCGGTGAGGGAATGATGTCTGAGTTGGGGAAGACAAAAGGGCGCGAATGGGTTTTAACTTAAACAAACACTCGTGCAGCCACCATATGGTGCTTTCTCGCATTGTTAGAGCGCAAACATTCGGTCATGAAAGTGTACATACGCTTGTATGCTAGAAGATGCGAGCAAACACACGCCTTCTATACCGCGAGCGAACGTACCAAGTCTACCCATCACCGTTTACTTCACAATGTCCTCTCGCATAGTTGAAAATGACCCCAAAACTTTCACAGATAACTTCGCAATCGAGGAGCTCTACAAAGCAGTCCTTAGGTTCCAGCGCATATGCCTCGGTAGAGATGCTAACGGCAGCATCATCGAGACATCCGACCGAGCGAAACATCCCACTCTAAGCGCGGGTAACAAGAGCCTTTTAAAAATAACTGCGGCGCACATGCAGAATGTTCTGAAGTGGAGTAGAGAGATCGGTTTGGACATGACGGTTGAAGAGGCTGGTGACATTGGGAAACAAAGACTATCTGATCTGCCCGGTTGGGTGTTGGGAGAAGAAATTAAGAAAAGCAAACACAGTGACGATTGGTTGCAGTGGAGTAAGTAACCCTTCATCGTGTAGCATATAGATGTTCATTTGATTCATATTTACATCGAAGTGTCACACCTACAGTAGGTGCCGACCATTTTTCCTTCCCTCCTCTTCGCATGCAAGACACGTCTAAGCAGTGAGCTTGCTCTTGATGAAGGTGAGGGCCTGGTTTCCGTAGATGCTGACGTACTGCTGGTGGTGGTTGGCGTCGTTTCCGTTGCAGCAGTATGGGTCCTGGGAGTCGCAGTAGCTCTGGATGATGCTGGTGCTGGCGGGCGAGCAGGAGAATCCTGAGGGGCGGGCGGCGAACTGAAGTAGATGTTAGTAAAAGTAACTGTGGATGAGGGAAGGGTAAACTTACGCCTTGGGCCTTGCAGGTACCGACGTTGTAGGGGAGACCGTTACGGTTGTGGGGGTCACCCATGAAGATTGCGGCCTTGACGGCTGCCAGGGCGGTGCCGGTCAATGTGGAACCTGCGCCGCCACAGACGGCGTTGTCCATGATCTGACCTCCCTGCGGGCCGTTAGTACTTGGCTTTCTTGGATTCTATGGCATCATCCATACCTGAGAGTATCCAATGAGGACGATCTGAGTGTCAGGGCACTTTTGGTTGTAGGCAGTAACAGCCTTGACAACGGCTGCAGTTCCCTGGGAAGCAGAGTTGTCGTAGGAAATGCCTCCGCAGGCAGATCCTCCACCGCAAGCTGGGTATACGATGGCCTCGGATCCTGCACCGGGGTAGGCGCTCTTGACGGAGTTTACGAGCCCGGCGGCGGTACCGTAGCCATTGCTTTGAGGCAGGGTGGTCTCACGAGCTCCGAAGATGTAGACCTTGGGGCAACTCTGGCGCTCGACAAGCTCAACAGGGCCGGCGGCGGCGAGACCTGCAAAGAGAGCTGTTGCGGCGGCGAACTTCATGTTGACGTTTGGATAAGTGGGTACTTTGCTTCGGATGGAGATGAGATGTCAAGGAATCGTGATGATCAAGTCTGGGCAACGGGAGAAGTGTTTATAAAGACCAGTTTCACCTGGCCATAGTAGCAGTCCTTTAGGCAGAATCAGCCTGCCTTGACTATACACCATAGCGTGGCGGTGGGGTACAGGATACTGGTTTGCGTTCTCCTGGTGCACAGATGGTCCTTTCATCCGTCCTCGCAATTTATCTGAGTAAGTCACGCCGTCCTGTGACGAAGATCCGACAGGGGTTATTGCCGTAGCTCCACGTCCATTTCATGCAGAACCAAGCCGAGCTCGTCTGGGGTACATATGAATCCCAGTGTCTTCGGGGGAAAAGCGAGCAAGCGAGCGAGTAGAGAGCTGCAACGTATAGTGCCTTCGGCACATCGCGCGCTGGATAGATGGATGGCGTTACGGCCGCGTGGTCAGATGGTGTACCGGCGTGGAGCCGAACCGTTCTGGCTAAAAGGCAGCTCGAGGAAAAGCTTGGGTTGGCACCTTGGAAATCCGGGGTAAAATGCTTGTTTCTCGGAGCCTCAGCGCTAACATGGCGTACCTGAGGTTGGAAGAAGCATAGCCTCCGGATGTGCGTAGAGAGTGCCAATGTTGTGTATAGGGTCAAGAACGTCGATAGTAGCGAGGTGGCACTCACTGCCCCTCCCCAATTCTGCCGGTGCTCAAAGATTACTCAACATCATTGAAAGGAGACAAGGCCGTTCTAGTGCAACTTGAAGGCGACTTCAATGGCGGTCTGGTTGGGCGTAGCGACTACTGGTTCTCCTGATAATGAAACAAATATAGGGTGGGTCTGTCCGACCGCCGCGTTTCCGTCACTGACAGACCTATCACTAATCAGTGCATGTGTAGCTCGAAGACTTACTCTGCATGCGCATAGACTACTTCTGGAGGGCGAGAACGTACGACATGGCTGCACATGAATTTGCGTGAAAATGAAGGTTTGTGAGAGACCTCCAGGGCTAGGTACAATCGTGCCTGCCCAGGTGTGACGTCATCACGACATCCTCACGATTTAGCTCCGTCATCACGCTACGCTAGATACGTCGTAAATCGTTGCGCCCCTGTACTCAACTATCAACAACGACTACAAGGTTATGTCCGATATATTAGCAACACAATACTGAATGTGCGCTGGTTTCTCTCGTGGCTCCGCCCACGAAAAGGCGTTGTTGCTTCAAAAGAACGCACAGTGCTGCAACAGAACCTTGGAGCGCATGATCTACCAACCTCTGCAGGCGAAGAAAGTGTATTGAGAAATCGTAATGACGTTCACGAAGTTTCGACGAGTTCTTGATCCATGTCTTCATTTGGCAAGCCTGTCGGTTCTGTGCAATGGGGGCTTTTAGGAAGAGTGCGGGGCATGTAGTCGTGCGGCGCAGTCAAAGTGCAAGGTCTGACCTCGCGTTTGCTGCGCATATCACCTCTCGTCCATTTTGAGTCCGTACAGCAGGATAACACGACTTTCACCATGTCATCACAAGAGGGCACTATCGAGAACGTCCCGGAACCGACTTACAAATGCGATGACGCTATTACTACTGCGTATAGTCCAGCCTGGGCCGACCTCTTCGAGCATTCAAGTGAGGACAACGATCAGAGGAAGCTTGCTGTCGACGCAGAGACGCGACTTGATATCATGAAGAGCTGGATCAAAGCCTGCAACAAGTCGCACTGCGACCCTCCTTGCGTTCCATCCAAGGCAGACGCAACTACATGGCCTACGTGGCTGATCGATGTTGTGGATGTATGTATAGTCGAGGGCAGCATTGCCGACCGTTATCTTACACTGAGCTATGTATGGGGTGGAGTACAAACACTACAGCTTTCTACGGACACCATCGAGCAATTGAGACAGTATGGAAGCCTCAGTGAGCATGAAGCTGGCTTACCAAAGACAATACGTCAAGCTTTGGAAGTTACGCAGCTGCTCGATGAACGATATATATTCATTGATCAGCTTTGTATTATCCAGGATGACCAGCAACACAAGAACACCGAGATCGAGCATATGGCGGAGATATATGCAAATTCGTTTCTGACTCTTGTTGCTCGGGCCGGCGAGACGGCGGACTCTGGGCTGGCTGACGATCTCGATCAGTTGATGCGCAGCAATCCCAATGACCATCCACCTACGTATAGAAGCGGTCGAACCACATGGGAGCGTCGAGGATGGTAAGTAAATTACAACACGGCTCATGGTCAAACGGTTCGTACTGATCATTTGCGTGTCTTGACTTAGGACCTTCCAAGAACAAATCTTTGCGGCACGCGTAGTTTATTTCTACAAATCTGTGAGAGAACACGGAGACTTTGCAGAAGAATTTCACGTTTCCTGGAATTGTCACCGAGCTTTTTGGCCAGACACAGATGGTTCACAAACAGGGAAATCTGAAGATGTCAAGGCGCGTAGGCAGAAAGAGTTGTCCACTTTGACTTGGCCAGACTTCAGGCGATACACGGCGCACGTCGGGAGTTATGCTCCACGAGAATTCACCTATGACTCCGATGTAGTTCCAGCATTTTCTGGCATTGTATCAATGTGGACAAAGGTTTTCCCCGGAGGGTTTTTATATGGTCTCCCCGTTTTATATTTTGACGTAGCTCTTCTGTGGACACGTCATGGTTATTCGAAACGGAAGATCAATGAGACGTCTCATGAGAGCATCCGGCCCCCGAGCTGGTCTTGGATGCACTGGCGTGGCGGAAATGGGTACTGCCAACATCCTTTTTGGAATGCTTTTCCCTCAACAGGGTTCAGTGATGGTACGGCTTACCACGGAGTGGTTGTAGATCCGCTGGTCCGATGGTTCTATACAGGCGCAGGAGGAGCTCATATCCCTATTGAGAGCAATTATCACAAGTACCGGAGTTTCGCTGAAGACAGTGAGAGTACGCCCCCTCCGGGATGGAGTCGGATTCCTCGCAGGTCTAGCGAGCGGACGATAATCAAGTACGTCACGCCATATGCCCCAAGGGAGTGGTTCTATTTCCCGATTCCACTGGTCGACACATCACTTGCGGTTACAATACCAATGCCGGTCTCGAGTAAAATCACCTGCCAGACTGAACACGCCTTTTTCCACCTAGTCAGGCTGGAATCTGATAGAGATTGCGATCTGACGCGTATCCATGATGCGGATGGGTTGAGCTCAGGTGTACTGATGGAAAGAGGAGACGTACCTGAACCAACCGGGAATAACAGGAGGGTTGAAGTGATTGCAATATCTACTAGTCGCGTAGGAGGTAGTGTTAGGGACGGTGAGATATCCTACTTACGGAAGTATTTCCCGCGACATTCAGACTTCTACAACGTTCTTTGGATCGAATGGATAGATGGTGTCGCTTACAGGAAAAATCTTGGTCACATCACCAAACCGGCATGGGAAGCTGCGGACAGGGAGCTCATCGATGTTGTGCTTGGATGAAGAGGAACTCGGTTACGAACCCAGTAAAGGCAACACTCCACTGCATTTGTTTCTTGAATCGCTGAGTTTCGGTGTAAGCTCTCAATGGACCCTATTATAGCGCTCCATTCACACCAGAGCACACCCTCGCTTTCAACAAGACATTACTCATCTCAGCATGCTCTCCCCACTCATCACCCCACTTGACCAGACCCGGGAATGCGCAGAACAGGAATCTCCGATCCACATCCATATCAGTACCATCCTCTACAGCAGGATCAACGTCATTGACAGCTTCCATCGTGCGGTCATCGAACTGCATACTCGCATCTTGGCAGCGGAAGAAGAGCAACTGGTAGCGTGCCTTCTGCAAAGCCAATGTACGTTGCAGACTCGCGGCGTCTTTCAAGATTCCGGTGAGGACGGACTGGGCGTGCGGCGGAAGGCTCACAGATGTTAGTGTGAAGAGTATGTGGCTGACCTCTCCGGTGAGGCGGTGTAATGAGGCTACTCTTTCGGTATCGACATCTCGCTTCGCTTCGCTGCGTTCAAGTATCTGCACCGTAGCACGCACCCATTCTCGATACGTGGTACCAAGATGCCGGGTGTGCTCTGCGAGTGGTCGCAAGGTAGCGAAAGGACCTGTACTAGGTAGCCCAAACACAACAGGAGCATCGAAGATCTGCATGAGCGAATTCGATACAATAGCCTGATACAGCGCAAGCTTATCCGTACTCCGAATATTGACACTATACAGCGGGTTCAACGCGCTAAGAACTTCCTCCGTCTCCTTCGGAAGGCTGTCGAGATTTAACTTCGATCGCCTGAAGTTCGACACAGTCCATTCCCGCACGCGATTCGCAAGTTGTGAGAACGATGCTGCCAGCTCGCTGTCCGTTATCTGTGATTCCATGCGCGTGAGCGAGGATATGCTTGACTTCAGTGCGAGAAGTTGCTGGAGCCTCTCTTGTGATTCCTTCTCGGCGGCGTGGAGGCGTAGGCGTAGGTCGTCTGCTTCGCCGTTCGGCTGTGGTCGCTCGAGGCGGTGTTGGTACGGTTCATCGTGCGACGGGAATCGTTCGTCGAGCTGTGCTGGTGGGACTCTATTCGCATTAGAGCCCGATTCGATGAGTCGCGCCCTCAGTTCCTCAATCGCATGTTCATCTGCTTCCCTGTATTGTTTCACTTTCGAAAGTTCCTCCCTGGCCAAGTTCTGTTCCTCCTTCGCAATCGCGAGAGCTCTTTCCAGGTCCGCGATTCTGTGTGCCATGCGCGCGTCTACGGCATCATCGCCCGATGACGCCATTTTCGACTTGCTGTAAAGCTCATTGCTAGGCCCTGAAGGTGCAGTGTCTCTCTCGCGATCTACCGCACCTTCGCTTTTGCGCTTCAGCATATCATTGAAGGGGTATCGGCGTCGATGTACTTCGTCTTTCCTCGCATTGGGAGCGGCTACGGCAGCTTTCGGCGGGGTAACGACGTTGTTGGCGGAGGGCTTCGTTGATCTCGAGATGAGTCTGGTACCACGCTTCACGCTGAGGCGGTGGGTAGATTCTGGGTATATCAATACATGTTAAGACCGTGCGGTAGAAGAGCTGAGGCTTGCCAGAACTCTTTCGTTCGGTCATAGCTGGGACCGGGCGCGTTCCGACCTAGGGGCGCATCGGAACCAACTTCAAAGCGGGCGTCGAAGACCCAAACCTCCACACCCCTCTCGAAGAATATCACCATCGGATGGCTTCACGTGGGACGACACGAGCGTGCCTGGGCGAGCTGAATCCTGCAGCCTTGCGCGAGCTGACGATCACCAACCAGGGCCCGCAGCTGGGCGACTCCTACAGCTGTGGGTAGCGCGCGCCGTTCCTAGGCTTCGACATCACACCGCGCAAGGTTTCCGCCGGTGCCTGAATCATTCGCATGTCCTTCAGGCAGACACACTCATGACCTCAACGTCTTCCCCGTATCCACGTCCACGCCCATGATACTCTTGTGCTTTTCGTAGGATTCAGCCCCGCGGTCCGACCCACGCGACAGCCACGCGATCTGCCGAAGCCGGCATTGTAAACAACAAAGATCAACACACCGAAGAATGGCCATGAACCACACGTTTCCCAATCGAGGAAGTAGCATTCCGTATACTTTCAATCCGGGGAGCAATGCGACAATCGACATAGGCAGCGTACCTGAAGTGGGTAGTACCACGAAGGATAGGTTGGTCGTCGGTGTAGACTTTGGAACCACCTACAGCGGTTGGTAGCAACTATTCCACGATATGCGACCGATACGATTGGACGCTGAAGCTCGATAGGTGTGGCTGCCGTTTACAGTGCGACCCCTGACGACATTGACATCATCAAGACGTGGCCTGGCGGGAACGGTATGTTGTACTTGGGTTGACCGGAGGCGCGTCCACGAACTGACATGTACGCGCAGGTATCACGTCCGACAAAGTCCCCACCGAAATCGGTTACAGCGAACCATCCCCCCGTAACGGCTCGGTCTCCTCGCTCGATGCGCCCGCCAAACCTACGCAGAACATAAAATGGGGGTTCCAGTTCAAGCCCGAGGAGACGCGTCTCCGGTGTATAAAGCTGTTCCTCGACAGGAATCAGAAGCTACCGCATTTCGTATCGCCGCTTGAAACCGCCGCGCAATTGCGCAAGTTCGAAAAGACGGTCATGGAAGCGGTCTCGGACTATCTGTCGCAGATATACAAACATACAATGGAGACCTTGACAAAGAGATACGGAGAGACATTCATCAGCTTGACCAAGGTTGAGTTTGTCTTGACAGTACCTGCTGTGTGGTCAGACTCTGCAAAGGATGCGACGTTGAAGGCTGCGGAGAAAGCTGGTATGGGCAACAGGCACGAGCTGAAGCTTATATCAGAACCGGAGGCTGCGGCGGTATATACTCTAAAGGCGATACAACCGAATCATCTGAAGATCGGCGACAACTTCGTCGTTTGCGATGCTGGTGGTGGCACCGTTGACTTGATAGCCTACAAGATCACCCAGCTGCATCCTCTTCGCGTCGAGGAATCAGCAGTTGGGACTGGCGGCCTTTGCGGGTCGACGTTCATCAACTATCGTTTCGAAGAACATGTCAAGCAGCGTATTGGTGCAGAACGCTATAACTGAATGCGCGAGAAGAAGATGAAGACATGGAATATGGGGTTGAAGTACTTTGAGGAGTTCGTCAAGCGCAACTTCAATGAGGAGGAACACAATGAGGTCAACATACCCTTCCCAGGATTACCGGACGACGAGGAAGCGGGGCTTGACTCTGGGTTCCTTGTCATGAGTGCGGAGCAAGTCAAGGAACTATTCGATCCGGTAGTCCAAGAAGTTATAGATCTGGTGGAAGGTCAAGTCCACAGCATAAGAGCGAAGGGAGGTCTGGTATGCGGAATCGTCCTGGTGGGAGGCTTCGGGCAGAGCAATTACCTCTACGGTCGGATGAAGTCCCACTTCAACAGCGCACCTCCACCTCCCTATACCGAAAGACCAACGCACGCGGTCGCATTGAATGCCTCACAGGCAGTCGAGATATACCACCCGATACATGCGTGGACAGCAGTGGTGCGAGGCGCAGTACTCCGCGGGCTAGAAGGCAATATGGTTATCAGCAGACGAAGTCGCTGGCACTATGGCACGAGCTACGCGACAGTCTTCGACGAGGCGAAGCATCCCATATCCGACCGATATTGGAGTCCGCTCTGGGAGCGATGGATGGTGTCCGACCGGATGCAATGGCACATCGCAAAGGTAAACACCCCCCTCACCTTCTCCATGATATAACACAACATACTAACCTCCCACACAGGGCGCACAAGTCTCCGAAAACCGACCTATATCCTTCCACTACACGCGCAACTTCCGGCCTGGTCAATCCCTCATTGTAGAAGACGACCTCATAGCCTGCGACGCGGACACAGCGCCCGACTCCTTTAAGAAGGGTCTTATCAATGTCTGCACACTGACCACGGACTTGAACACGGTGCCGAAGAGCTTGTTTACGCGATTGACGACGACGAAGGGGGTGGAGTTTGATAATCTGGATTTTACGCTGGATATGCGGTGTGAGAGTGCGGGGTTGGTGTTCGAACTGAAGGTTGATGGGGTGAGGTACGGGGGTGTTAGTGCAAAGTTTCATTGAGGAAGGAAGGCAGGAAGGAAGTTGATGGAGGGATGAGATTAAGAGTGTGTTCCGGGAAAATCTGTGTAGGACCCAAACGAACAAGAATATTTATCTCAGTCGAAAATTAGTCAACGAAGATTCTGTGGATGTGGTGCGCGTCAAGGTGTTTTTCGAATGAGTGTCGATGTGTGACAGACGGTCGAGACGAATGTTATGCCAGGGCAGCCGACAGCGGACCATACACTTGATGTCTACTGCCGATTTGCCGCATGCGGCACCACCTGTATCGGCTGCGGCGTTACTGCCCTGGCAAAATCGAAGGATGAAAGGATCGCATCCTGAAGTAAAGCGATAGGAGCGGTCGAAATCGCCGTGGATCTTGATCTGATCGCAAATCGCAAATCGCAACTGGGGGAAGAATCCTTCAACGGAGATATGGGTGCGAAGGAGTACACTGGAGAGCCCCATCGATGACCACTGCATTATTCGCACAGTTCTCGTCGGCAGTGCTTTGGGCTGCGTATGCCCAAAGATTAAAGGTTTCTCACGGATCACCATTAGGTTTTCGTGAGCACTCTATCTGAGAACGATAGCGACCCCGAGTAATGTCCAAAGTGTATATATCACCTGGGTTCCCACGCGTTTGGTAAACGGACATAGTACCCGTTGTAGACAACAGAACCGATGCTATTTTCTGAGAATAAGATGATTCAGCAAGGGCAGGGTGTCGAGCGTAGTTTGTGCTGCGGATTTTCGGATGCTGAACTATCCATGTGGTGCTCGTGGGGCAAGCGTGGATGGGATGATCCAGGGGGTGGGGAAGCCGGAAAACCTAGTTTTGCACTGTAATATTGTAGTCGTAAGAGATGGTTTGGTTTGTAGATTCCTAATCTACAAGTCATGGTCACGCACCCTGGTAGTAAGACGCGTAGACGAGTTTAGGTTGTAATGGCTAACCCACGCGTAGACTATCGTGGCTGCATCATGTTTCCTTTTTCATACCAGCGCGATCCCGGGTATAGAGCCTCCCGGCAACGTGTACACTTGGCAGCAAGGCGAGCAGAGATCCTGATGCGGAACTAAAGTCCCGACGATTTGAGGTTTTGGTGATCCGACCTAGTTGTTCAAGGGGGTGCGCTGACTAGTGGAACCCCGCATTTGGGTTCCATGCGTGAAGATCGTTAGCAGCGATTTCACACCCTCGATCGCTCGGGGGACGTCCCGCCTGTAAGATCTCAACCTGTTGTGCGTGGAGATTGCCGTGGGCAGTGAGTGAGATTGGTGGCGTGATAGTCGATGCAGGTATTACCAGGTTTTGCATCGCATTTAGAAACCAGGACAAAGACATGCCCACGCGATGGATGTGGTCACTTGTGGGGCCTGTCGAGCGCAGCACACATCGATGGATTTCGCGACTAGATCTGTACGATACTGAATGCGGTAATTTGGGCGAATCATGGCTCTCGGATGCGAGTCCGATGAGAACTGCCGCGTATCGGATCGGAATCTCTACCGGTGGCACGGGCAAATCTCCCGAACAAAGCCGATGGGTGAATGGTTCTGGTGATACCCTCAGCATCCTTGATCAATATCGTCACTGCTGAGCATTTGGTCGCCGGAGTAAGACGATGTTCGAAGAAACAGACGACCAGCGATTCAGGGTCCATGAGGATACCTGCCGAGTCGTGCATGGTGCGTGGTTAGCGAACGGGACTTGCCATTTCACGCTTCTAGTACTACTGCACTCTAGCTAAGTAGAATTGTGAAACCAGCGCAACATGACGAAGGACCGATAGCTCGAATCGGCTTTTCGATTCGAGATGCGTCCGTTGTACGAAGTGAACCATACTATCTCCAACATTGATAACATAGTATGGTTCAGGCGACGGGGCGGAATTTTATTCTCGCAAAGTGTCGCGGATAACTCCGTCGCAGCTGCCGTCGGGGACATATGACGTAGAAATCGAATGATTAGTTGGAGAAGAACCGTATTCCTAGGGTTCGAAGGCCCTGTCAGCAAGTGAGGCTGCGTGCCCGCTAGAATAAAGACTTTAGTATACCGGCTTTCTATATAAAATAGGAAAGGTGTCCCCGAAGCAATCGAACTTTAACCATAAGGCGAGCAATTCGACGGAGGCTCGGCCAAGACGTGATCGACCATGACAGCTGAGCGGAGATGGCTCCGTAGCTTTCTGGTCGATCATAATGCAGAGCTTTAGAGTCCGGCTGTTGATAGCGGACGCTGAGGAACTGTGCCAACGTCGAAGCGCGTCTAGAAGTATGCGGCCGGCGTTATTTTCGTGAATTATAGGCGAGGTGTTGCGCGGCTGTCAACGTGTCGCGTTCGCTCTCCTGAAGATCACCCACTGAGTTTACCAAAGCGGACACTAGCCAACGTGATGCTGATCTCCAGAGGTTCGGTATGGGGCTCCGCCATGTCGGGCAGACAGCGTGGCGACAAGACTGGACGTTCGAGATGCGCTAGGAAACGTGGTGACTGCCAAGCTAAGATGGGCTTGGTGTTGAGAAGTGGTGTGAGGGCCTCAGCAAACTCAAAGTAGGGGAAAACGTTCATCTCAACGATGTGCTGGTGTAATTCAAAGTGATGCGATTGGTCGTTTGAGCTCGAGCGCAACCACACCCAGGCTTCGGGCAGCGACGGTCAGTATCATGAACTTCCTAACCTTCAGTGGCCTACTCAAGGTTTGACCAAGGCGCCCTTACTCTTGGAGATGCTTTTCCCTCTAGACGATGAGCAGTCTCAGGTGTGGTTGTACGACTAGCTTATATCCGAGCATCTGCCCGTAACTAGCTCTTGAGAAAGCGAGTGCGGAGACCACATAGCCGGGAACGGTCTCGCGTATGCTTCCAAAGCAATTCGCCGGTATACGGAGTACGGTGCGTTGTCGTTGCATAAGAACGAAGACGTTGCATATGCGCAAGGATCAGTGACTGTATCATGCGAAAGAACTGCCGTGGTGTCGATAGTTGCTCATATGGCTAAGGCGCAGGACGTGATAGTCGCTAGCGTCGAATCGAGCATTGAACGAAGAACCCACATAGAAGGTGGGAATGTATTCTGCGATGTGACATGTCCAGTCTGGCGGGCCTGGCGTATCGTTTGAGCTGGCGAAGGATCTGCTATACGCCCGGCATCTGTGTCTTTGTTACCTCGGTGAAGCCAGACCAGATGGAGGTTGCACCACTGTGTCGCCGTGGCGCAGACTGCAGGGCTGTGATGCAGCCATAGTCGTACACCCTTCTCCAAGAGTCCCGGAGATGCCGCAGTACAATGATTGTCGATGTAGTGAGACAAGTGGGGTTGCAATGCTGACATTCATGGCCCAACCCCAACGTGGGGGCACTGTGTAGTCGCTACTATAGGCAGGAAGTACCAGAGCTGCGCAACATTGATACGGCCCTGCGATGTTGGTACTCGTGCTTGGATAACGAGGTGGTAATGTCGGTCATGTCCGCTGCCACCTACTATGAGAGGCTAGCAGTAGTGTCGAGGAGTGCTGGCCTGTATCGTGAGGACGGTGGGAAGAGACGATGAGGTGGTGGAGCTTGATATCGCGCCGCCGGCGCATGTCACCAGGGCCAATCAGGGCGCGGTCGTGGTCGAGGTGAAGGACGCGCGGGGTTTTGGAGCTCTTGCTATCTGTGCGCAGCATGGCACTGCAATTGGCAGGCGCGCACCGCAAAGTCCCAGGGTGGAAGTTGCGATTAAGCGAGCCAAGACTAGCGAGGGGAAGGCACGATGCAAGCCTCGCACGAGCGTTCACGAACGGATGAAGCGCCGTTCGCCTGTGCAGCGGCGCAAACACCAACTACTGATCACCATGTTATCCCCGACTTCTTGATAGCCGGCCCTCCGCCAAATCGATCGGTTGATGTCCGGTACGTTTCAGATACACTACACTACCGCGAACAATTTAGCCAGAATACATGACTGAACTCTGCGCACGACCAAGGCGACTGGCATCCTCAGGCCTAAGGGCTGGAGAATCGGAGGGCATTATTACCGACGACCTGGTCTAAAAGCGTCAAATCGATATTACCCTCCAATGACGTGCAAAGCTAACACAGGCTGTCGGCACCGGCAGGATGCAGTGCTGACCGCGCGAACACGATGAGTAGCGGACACATGGAAGACAAGAAAAATGGAGAACGTGGGATAGCTTTCCCTGCTTCTTGGGCGGCGGAGGCGTACTGGGAAAAAGAAATATCCTACGCCTCACCATAGACGCGCCACTACGGACCGGTGGGGGGAGACGCTGCGCAGGTGCCGTCGGGAAATAGCAAGCCTGCTGGAAACCGTCTGACCACCGAAAATTCGAGACGAATTAATAGGCCCGAAGTGCTTTTGTATCAGATCGGTCTTCCACGTGCAATCGCCTGTCTTGGACAACGCCCGTACTATTGGTGTGCAAGTCATGCAGCGACCGTAGCCAGAGCGCTGGGTCAGGCCTCATGCGCATTAACCGACGACCGGCGGCCATCACGTACTGCAATCCAGCTTGGCCAGTGACATGCTCGCTTGACCACGCTTGTGCAACGCAACTGTGGAATCGCTGATTATCCTCAATCGCGATGACGCGAGTGGAGATTAGTCGAGCCTTTGCCAGGGCCTTGCTAGCGAGATGAACACTGTGGAGAAGGACGCGCCTTCGCAGCCAATTTGTCGCAGGATAGCATACCATGACAGCGCCAGCAGTTCACGTCGGCGTCATCCCTGCACCACCCTTCGAGACCTCTCCAACGACCGCGAGCATCGGGGGATCATCGCAGCGGGCTTTCGCTACTGGGCGGTCACGTCACGACGTCTGCGTATTGGGCCCTCAGCTGCGCAAACCAAACCCTACCAGTCTCCAGTCTGCGTCAGCTCTCTCGCTCAGGCACTTCGGCCCTGTCTCCATTGAGGCCTTTATCGCCGTCCTCATCATCTTAGATCCGGACACTGTTGAATCTCACCCTGGCTCAACCACGCTTCCCCGGCGACGTTCATACGCACAGAG